GTATCATTAAAATTGAGTTAAATTTAAAAAGTCTTACAAAATTACTTTATATTATTTAATAAAATAATAAATAATCAATACAAAGCATTTTGCTTGACAATCCCATTTTGCACTGCAACAATAAAACTGAAGTGAGATAAACTGAGAAATGTTTATTTTTAGTTAAAACAGATGTTGTCAAAGTTTTCTTTTGGGGACATAATTTGAAGTTGGAAAAAGGTAATAAATTGCAATATATCGCAGAATATCGCAATATATTTAAAATCGCAATAATATTGTATCGTGACACAAGTATTGTGATAATATCATATCGTGAGGCCTCTGGTGATTCCCACCCCTATTGTATAGTAGTTATATATTTGTCATAATTTCTTCAAGTTAAACCAAACGTTTATTTTGATTGGCTGTAGTGAAAACCTTTGAGTTTCTGTGTGTATCTCACAATAGTTTTATTAAATGAAAGGGTTAAATGCTGATGTCCTTATATGAGGTGGCAGATGCTGAAAACACCACAAGCATCAAGTATATGTAGTAGATAAAACTGTGCCACTCATTCACACATGCAGACTTCATATCTAAATATACTTTTGCAGTTCAATGTTCAGAGTCACTATTCTATAGAGTGGGGGAACTATGATTTCACTTTGTAGGCCGATTGGCTGTTAGCATCGCACTGGTTCCCTCGACAAAAAGCCAGTAGGATTTTTCCATAGGCTTTTGGATTATCGCAAAAATAAGCTCTGTGTTCAATAATAGTTCATGAAACTTACACGTTTTGTCCATCAAGATAATCTTCACAAAGTAATATAACTTTTATGAATTCTGAAGCCAAAATAAAAGAGCCAGAACTTAAAAGCTAAACTTAGGCTATAAACGAACTACACCACCACGATCGCTCGCCTAATTTTTACGTGGCTTTAAGCACTATGCATCGTTAAAGTTTCACTTTCACCGTGACTAAGCCGGTAAATGTGGTGTTTACATGGAATAATCATATGAGTTTACCTTATGGTGCGAACCCAGAGTCTCCGCATCAGTAGGAAAGGGATAAAATGAGCATCTTCCATCCGAAGACTTGTTGCATTTCGGGCAAAAAAAAAAAATTTGTCAAACAAAAATATGAAATGCAGGAAACTATTAATTGGTTATTCTACAATTAATTGTA